TCCTTCTGATATATTTTGTACCCTGGAGTGATTGTGTCTCATTCATTGTCCTCACTCCACAAGGTTTCTGTGATGCCTATTATATCAATATCCTCCTTTAACATGAGGCACTCTAGTTCATCCATCTTATTTTTTAGACTTCTAGCACTCACATAGGTCTATCTAGATGCCTCAAGAGATCCGCAACCTTCGCACCAGGTAGGCAAGTCACCATACGGTTTTCCCAGGTATCGCAAACCCAGTTATCTACATTTCTAATGATCGAATCTCCCAAAACAGACTTATTGAAATGTGTAAGTAGGGAAAAGTTTAGCTACTCCATCAGAGTTTATTGTTTTCCTTGTTTGGGGCTTTGGAAATCATGTCTGAACTGGCTAATTATTTTCTCTTTTGTAACTAAGGATTACAGCCCAGGGACTTTCCCTGAGTCTATGTCAATTCGTGGCTATTTACCACCTAGTCAATGTACTATGCTTGCAACTGTATTTTTGTTTTGATAATAGAAGAGTTTTCTTTTTTATGTTGATTAACCAGTATTGGTTGATTGTTGTATCCTTAGGATTAAATGTCTAGTTACCCGGGCAGAGTCCATTGTTCTCTGCGGATTCCCTCTGTTTGTTTTCCCAACTCCAAGCAGAACAGAGGTTGGGGGCAGGTGGGAGAGCTTTGTTTTAGGGAGGGGATTCCCAAGTGATGTCTTCCCTGAAAAAGTTTTTTATATATATTTTCTTTTAACCACTTGGGTGGTGGCAGCATGTGTTTTTTATTTATTTATTTATTTTTAATCTCAGGAGGACTGAGATTGAATAAGTGTCTCTGGGAATCACAGAGATAGGTTTTGAAGTTATTTATTCTATTAGCCAGCCCCCGCCATCTCTGCACACAGAGTGTCAGGTTGGGGAATTGAGCCATGACATGGTGGTAGTAGTGAGATCAATTTGAGAACTGAGAATTTTAAAAGGATATAGATTTTTCTTTTGACTAGTTGCAAGCTTTGGAGGTTTTTTCTTTCTTCTTTTCTGTTGCCGCCTTGGGGAAAGGAATACAGAAGGTGAATCCTATAAAGCCAGACAATCCAACCCAAACAGATTTTATTTCTGACTTTCGGGGCAACTGGATAGCTAGGTTAGAATAGGGTAGGGAAACAGTCCAGTGCATGCTTTTGCTATCAGGCAAAGTAACCCTAGAGCAACCAACTCTTCCTAAGCAACATCCTGAGGTGAAAACACCCTCAGATCAGGGCAAGATGTCCAGCTCCAGGGAAGATTCACACTCCGAGGAGGGGAGACAGGAGGATATCCCTGTGAGTCCAGGGGGAAGTAACCTTGAGGGGGCAGGGGCAATGGATGGCCTCCCCTCTCCTCACTCACTACTGTCTTCTTTGTGGGAGAATGCCTTTAAGACAGGCAGACCTCTAACTAAGGAAAAGATGGATTTTTTACTACAAGTGAAGCGAGTAGAAGTGGAAGTAGAAATGAAACACTTAGATAAAGAGGCAGAAATGGAGGTGAGGTGAGCGAAAGTAGAGGCACAGGCCAGGCAAGCGGAAGCAGAAGCACAAGCGAGGTGCGCTGAAGCAGAGGCCAAAGTCGTGCTGGAGAACGCTAAAAGGTCAGACACTCCAGATACCTCACCCAACAATCCTGCTCCAATCACTGTTGAACAGCCCAGGAAATACCCAATGTACAGGGTAGGAGATGATGTAGAGGCCTACTTAGAAAGTTTTGAAAGAGCCTGTCTTTTGTACAGCATCCCCCAAGTCCAGTACATGGTGGAGCTGAGATTACAACTCAGTGGACCCCTAACAGAAGTGGCAGTTGAAATGCCTAGGGGAAACATGAATGACTATGAACTTTTTAAACAAAGGATCAGACTTAGGATTGGACTCACAGCTGAACATGCTCAATGCTGCTTTAGAGCCTTAAGGTGGAAACTGGGTATGACAATGCCCCAAACTGCCTATGAGATTAAAAGGAATGGGGATGCATGGGTATCAGGAGCAAAGGTGAAGACTATGGAAGAGCTAGATATGCTGTTCCTGATGCAAATGGAACAGCTCCTAGAGGGCCTTCCCATAGATCTTCAGAGATACATCCAAGATGGGAACCTGAAGGATAAAAGAGAGGCAGGAGATATAGGAGCCAGGTGGATGGAGGTGACAGAGGAAAATAACTGCCAGTTAAGGGAAAATCAGAAGGGCCACGCAGAAATGGCATCTCACAACAGGGGGACATTCTACAATCCACCTCGCAGGGAAGGGCCATATCCACTTCAAGGGAGACCATAGACATCCTCTTGTCCCCACACCCCGTCCTCTGGCAACCAAACTCGCTCCAGTGATACGCCTATCGTGCAATGATTAAATATAATGAACTGAGGCATGTAAAGGCCAATTGTCCTAAGAGCACCAACAGACTGCAGCTCATCTCACCGGGGTCATACCAAGAGACCTCTGGCCCAGATGCCTCATGGATTCCTCTGGAGCAAAGGGAGACTGTGAGGGTGGGCAGAAGGGAGATTGTTAAATGGAGGGACACTGAAGCACAGATGTCAGTGATCCACCAATCCCTGGTGGACCCCAAACTCATTGACCCAGAGGCCCTAGTCACCATTCAACCCTTCAAGGCAGATCCTCTTGACCTGTCTACTGCCAAGTTACCAATTAAGTACAAGGACTGACCAGGAACTTGGACTTTTGCAGTCTATGATGACGACCCCATTTCTATCCTGGTGGGGGAAAACATAGCCAACCGAACCAGGCTAAGAAGGTGGGAGTGGTCACTCGCAGCAAGTCTAAACAGGCCTCCACATCTAAAACTGTTCCTGAGCCTCCTGCCAGGGACCAGTTTGTGCTTCCAGACACCCTAGCACTGGAGACCCAGACCCTACACCCATGACTATAATCGCAGCAGTGGATCCAGTTACTGAACACCAGGTGGAACCAGTCCATAAGCCAGAATGGGTGGAGCAAACAGTACTAGGATCAGAATGTGCTGCAGAGGGCACCACGATGCCTGCTGCAGCAGCTGAATCTGTGCAAGAGGCCCCGCCTGAGCCTGCAACGCAACCCAGTGCACCAGCAGAAAGTGGTTCCCCATCAGAAGTGGTTTACCCACTTCACCTGCATCACTTCCGGAGGGTCCAAGACCAGGTCCACAGCCCAGCAAGGAACTGATGTCTCTACCATTGAGAGAGCAGTTCCAGGCAGAACAGGAAGCAGATGAGAGCCTCAAGGGATCTTGGATGGTGGCCAGAAGTGACCCACCACCTCTCAGCTCTTCTAACAGGTCCAGGTTTGTGTAGAAAAAGGACTTTCATACTGAGAGTCTATTTCTAGTGGGCACAAGGAGGACTGATGTCCTCAGAGACTCTTGAGCTTAGTCCATGATCACCCTAGTGGCCATGCTGGGGTGAACAGAACCAAAGACCAGTTAAAAAGGTCATTCTACTGGAAGGGAGTGGGCAAGGAGGTGACTGGCTATGTCTGGACTTGTGAGGTATGCCAGCGGGTGGGGAAGCCTTGAGACCAGGTCAAGGCATCTGCGGATATAGGGAAAGGCAAGCAGGGCGGCTGCCCCAGGCCCCGCGCTTCAATAGGTCCCATGCCAAGCTGCCGCGCGGGAGCAAGCAGCAGTGCAGGTGGTCGTGTGGGCCCTGCTCTGCACTCTCATGCTCCACAGGAAGTGCGGGGCCCACACGGCCACTTGCGCTGCTTGCTCCCATGCTGCAGCCCAACTGAACGGTATAGAACTCAGCCGAGCAAAGGGCGTGTCAGAAGCTCCAGGTCCTGCCCCCTGGTCGTATATATCACTGCCCCCCTTCGCCTCCTGCTGTGCCGCTCAGCCAGCAAACGGCCATTTGGGCTCCGCGAGTGAGAGGCAGGAGGGGGAGGAGAAGAGAAAGAGAGAGTGAGAGGCAGGAGAGGAAGGAGAAGAGAAAGAGAGAGTGAGAGGCAGGTGGAGGAGGAGAAGAGAAAGAGTGACAGGCAGAGAGAGGCAGGAGGCAGAGGAGAGCTGCGAGAAAGAGGGGAGAGGCAGTAGGAGGAGGACAGAGAGAGAGAGAGACAGACCTGGAGGAGAGACCCAAAAATCCCGTCTTATGATGGGCTATTGGCTAGTTTTTTTAATAATGAACAATTTAAGATTGATATGTGAAACGTGTAATGAAGTAATGTGAATACACAACGGGTGACAGATTGAAACTGATTTGCACACATGCTACAAACTGTCGGCTGTGGCCGTGGTGCATGCGCCATGTCACTCACTCCGTTTTTTACAGATAAATAACAATTTTATAAGTGTAAATTCGCCGACAACCCCAAATTATAAAATAACTAGCAGGTAGAAAATATTTGTTGGGAAGCCAGAAATTAGAGAAAAAAAGAAAACTTGAAGAATGTAATCTCAGTCTAACAGGCACTATGGAAAAATTAAAACTATTAAAGAATTACTTAAGATCTACTATGAGCCAGGAGTGTTTTGTAGGTCTTTCGATCATATTGATTGAAAACGACCTGTGTAAAGAAATGGACTTTAATGACATAATTGAAGAATGTGCTGCCAAAAGAGCTAGACAACTATAACAGACTTAAATATAAATGAAAATTTTTAATTATTAATGCAGAATTTTGTTTAAGAATGACTTACAATATAATTAAAATAAAAATTATCCAACTAAATTAAGTTCCTATCAAATTTACCCAATTCACATTTAATATGAAAAGAGCCTTCAATTTGCGCAGTTGACACCTTTTTTATATTTTTTCTCCAAAGGGGGGGGGAGTCCCGCGAAATTGTGCTGCCTTGGGCTGCGCAAAACTTTCATCCGCCCCTGGGTCAAGCCCCTCCCCATCACAGAGGTCATGGTCCAGCGTGTAGCTGTGGATATTATGGGTCCCTTCCCTAAAAAAACTTCAACAGGGAAACAGTTCATAATGACCCTTGTGGATTTTGCCACCCAATGGCCTGAAGCAGTAGCTCTAGGGAACACTACAGCCAGGAACGTGTGCCAGACATTAACAGATATCTTTGCCAAAGTAGGTTGGCCATCAGAGATCCTCACAAATTCAGGGACTAATTTCCTGGCTGAGGCCATGAAATGCCTCTGGGAAGTTCATGAGGTAGAGCACCGAATTGCTACCCTCTACCACCATCAAATAAATGGCCTTGTGGAACAATTTAATGGGAGTTTGCGAGCCATGATACGCAAATTCATGAATGAACATTCCAACAACTGGGATGTGGCTTTGCAACAGTCACTGTTTGCCCCTAGAGATGACCCACATCCCAGTTTGGGATTCTCACCCTTTGAACTGATGCATGGCAGTGACAACTATTTTGTGTTTTTCCCCATATACTTGAATGGTTTCCTGGTGTGAAAAAGAGAGTTACTCACCTGGTGCAGTAACGTCTGTTCTTTGAGATGTGTGTCCCCGGGGGTGCTCCACTCGAGGTGCTGGGCTCGTCCCGGCGCCGCAAACCAGAGGAATTTTCACTAGCAGTAGCCCCCTGCCGGACCGCGCATGCGTGAGTGCCCCTTCACGCCTTTCATCTGAGCGCGGTCCGGTCTTGTCAGTTTCCTCCCATCCGGAAGCATCTGAAAGACATAAATAGAGGCTCCGAAGCAGGGAGGAGGGTGGGACGTGGAGCACCCACGGGGACACACATCTCGAAGAACAGACGTTACTGCACCGGGTGAGTAACTCTCTTTTCTTCATCGAGTAGTGTCCCCGAGGGTGCTTCACTCGAGGTGAGTACACAGCAGTGGTCCAACGTGACATGAGTGCTTCGGACCTATCGCCTTCGGGCTGTAGACAAGACAGCCTGAGCTACCCTCGAATCGGAAGTAAGTATGTTCGCAAGGGCATAGTGTTTAGCGAATGTGAGGGTGGACGACCAGGTTGC